GATCACCCAGGTTCGATGATTAACTCAAGGACTCAGGATTCAGTATACAGTTGCATTCATGGCTATGATGCATTACAGCCAAAGAATACAAAGCAAAATCAACAAAGTACATCAAATGGACAAGACAAGATAGTAGAAGGGCATTAAAGGCAATGGGAACAGTACATGCAAAGGCAAAGAGCTATGAAAGGATGCCCCAGCCAGGAAACAAACCACACTGCTGAAAAGTCCTTTCAGTATGGCCGAGCACAGGGTGCCTGGGAGAGTATCAGAAGGAGGGAATGGAAGGGGCACCTGAGTGGCTCAGTCAGTTAAGTGTCTGCCTTCAACTCAGGTCATGATCTCAGTGGGGAGTCTGCTTCCCATCTGTCCCTCCCCCTCTGTCCCTCATCCTCTGTCCCTCCCTCTCTGCCCCCTCTACTCCTCCTCTGCCCCTCCCCCCTCCTGTTGCTCACACTCCCTCTCACTCTCTCTCAAATAAATAAATAAAATCTTTAAAAAGAAGAAGAAGGGAGTGGAGAGGGAAGGAGAAAGACTTTATAATGGGCCTCTTATACCACAGTAGGACATTTTAACTTTTTAACCTTCTCCTATGAGCAACAGGAAGCCATTAAATATTGTCGGTCAGGGAGTATAGTACAGTGCCTGGCTATAATAGACAGCTTTTTTCCTCCAAAAATTAAGATGTTGAAATCCTAACCCCCAATGTGATACTATTAGGAAGTGGGGCCTTTGGGAACTGATTAGGTGATAAGGGTAGAGCCCTTACGAATGAGATGAGTGCCCTTATGAAAGAGACCCTAGAGAACTCTCTCACCCCTTCTGCCGTGTGAGGACAGAGAGAGAGAAGATGGCTGTCTATAAACCAGGAGGACAGCTTCCACCAGAGACCAGATACCAGATCTGCCAGTACTTTGATCTTGGACCTTCCAGCCTCCAGAACTGTGTGAAATAAACTTGTTGTTTAAGCCATTTGGTCTATGGTATTTTGTTACAGTAGCCCAAACGGACAAAGATACTGACATATAATGTAGTAGGCCCAAAATAAAGCCTGTTAATTCAATGTGATTCAAGTTATTATACCAGTTCAAGATATATACCGATTTCTTGGCAATCCTTCAGTGAAGATGACAGAGCTTCACTGGATCACTCTAGGGGTGCCTGGGTGGCTCAGTTGGTTACGTATTTGCCTTTGGCTCAGGATCCCAGGACCTGAGCTTGAGTCCCACGTCAGGCTCCGTTCTCAGCAAGGAAACTGCTTCTCCCTCTCCCTCTGCCTGCCGTCCCCCTGCTTGTGCTCTCTCTCTCTGTCAAATAAATAAATAAATTTTTTTTTAAAAAGCCACTCTTATTTCCTTGGATACATTAAACTAAACTAAGTCACTTTGATCCATAAGCAAATGCACAATTAATTGAAACTGGTTCTAGAAATTATGGGATCTAAAACTCTAGATCTAGAAAAGTGGGGTTTAGCTTCACCAAGATGAAGACTAGAACCTAATATCAGCTTGTGAAATTATCAGAAAAATATAGCTTTCAGAATAAACTGGTAACAACTACCATTTACTTTGTGCCAGGCAATATGGTAAGTAGTTTATGGAAATTATTTGGTTAATCTTCATTTAAAGCAGGCGTCATTTACTCATTTTACAGATGAAGAAGCAGACTTACAAATTTTAAATAATTTACCTAATATTGCATAGGTCATGACTGCAGAATGGAGCAGTTGACATCAAGCTGAGTATCTCATGACTTTAACTGATCGCCTGTTTATGTCTGAGATTGTTGGAGTTAATCCCAATCCTGCTCGGCTCAGACACTGTTGGGGTGTAAGACATCATGGCCATCCATTGCACCTCACAGGGCTCTGAACATCCAGCCCTCCTGCCCCAAGTGTGGCTCAGTAGGGCCTGGAATAGTTGGGAGTCCCTGGACCACCAGCTGCCTTATCTGTTTAGTCTAACTTGCCATACTGATATGCTTATTTTTTAAGTGGGCTGTGATATGGAAAAAGTTGGAAAGCTCTATCTGAATCTAATTCTCCTCCTTTGCCTCCTCAAAACCCTCTAGAAATCCCAATCCAGTGATCAGCAAACTCCCCTACACCCTCAACCTGTCCTTGGAAAGTCACTGATTTAAAACCTGGCATGTCCTGAAGACAGTGCTTCCCTGCAGCCCTGAAGACACTTTATAAAATGACCCATCTTGAGCAGTGGACTAGGACTGCAACAAAGATGTGCGTGCGTGCGTGTGTGTGTGTGCGTGCGTGTGTGTGTGTGTGTGTGTGTGTGTGTGATCATCATCCCTGCCCCCTCTCCCCTGCCAACATAGCTTTGTCACAGTTTTCCTCAAGAGGAAACCCTGCTGTTTTGGACCAATCTCAGATTCTGAGTCAAATAATGCTTGTACAAATCCTATTAGTAAAACCTGATTTACGGTTACTTCTAACAACTAGAGATGTGTTCACAGAGCTGAGAAGTAGAAAATCTCATGATAGCATTCACTGGAGAATAATCTAAATTGTTTTGAGCATCTAATCAGATTGGGAGTGAGTGGAAGAGGACTGTTTTTTGCTCCATTTTGTCAAATATATATGTTTGAATTCTGGGACTTTGACAAAAATGTCCTCCATAACTTTGGATTTCCAGCTGAATAACTCATGCTATGGAAATCTGGGCAACTAGAAACTTTCTTTAAGATAAATAAATAATGTACAGTCATTGGTTTTTAGGCTGGTCATCTGGTATTGGCAAAAGGACATGGATTTGCAGTCTGAGGTCTGGTGTTCAAGCATGGGCTCTGACATTGACTAGCTGTGTGATCCTGATAAAACCTTCACCTCTCCCAGTTTGTTTCTTTATTGTCAAATAAGAAAGAATCCTTCATAGGAGAACCAACCTAAGGATTAAATGTTGTAATGTATGCTAAAGGTGCTTCATAAACTATAAAACACTGCACAAACATCAATCATCTATTGCATTGTAATAGATGAGTCAGGAATGAGGCCTGACACAGAGCTGATGCACAATATTTATAATATATACTATATGTTATATACAATTATATATATATAATTATAATTTAGTATAAATAAGTAAATTCTGCTGGTGAGCTGTGTCATCTCAGGCAAGAAACATCTCTATCTCTCTTTTGCCTCCTCTGATACCACTTCTCCCTATTCACTGGGCTCCAACCATACTGTCCTTTTTCCTGTTCTTCCAACACAGCAAGTTCACTCCTGCTGCAGGGACTTTGGACATGCTGTTCCCTCTTCCTGGAACATTCCTCCCCAGCTCTTTGCATGGTTTTCCACTTCTCATCAATCAGGTCTTAGGTAAAATGTCATTTCTTCAGAGGCTTTCTCTAACCACCCTGACTAATATTCCTTCCACATCATTCACCCAATACCTATTCTTGTTTTATTTTCTCCTTAGCACTTCTTACTATTTGTTGACTTGTTTATTACACTCTCCTCCACTAGAATAAAAAACACTATGCTAGAGTTTCCCCATCTTGTTCACAACTGGATTCCAATGCCCAAAATAACATCTAACTCATAGTAAACTCTCAATATGCATTTGAATAAATGAAGATGAAATAAAGTATATCAAAAGTTTCATTCATTCAACAAATATTTTATATGTACCTATGAGAGCCCAGGCTCCATTTCAAGGTGCTGGGGATTCAACTGAGAACAAAACAAAAACCTCTGCTTTCTTGGGGCATGCCTACTAGTGGGAAAACAAAAAAAAAAAAAACAAGGTAAAAAGTATAAACATACTATATCTGATGATGTTAAGTGTTAAGGAGGGAAAAAAATAAAGCAGGAAAAGAGGACATGAAATGTGTGTGGAGGTGTTAAATTTTAGATAGGGTAGCCAGAGAATGAAATGAGAGGCTAAGCCATGAGGATATATGGGGGAAATGCATTCCGGGAGGTCAGGGTAACTGGGACAGTAATGAAGGTGCTGGAGGCTAACACAATAGGAGAGGAGATCAGGGAGGTTAAAGGAAGTCCAACTGTAAAGGGCCCTTTGGCTAAACTAAGGACTTTGGCTTTTATCAAGAATGAGATGGGAAACCGCTGGGAGAGTAGGAGCATCAGGGTATCATGATATGGTTTGTTATAAGAGGACTGCTGGGGCTGCTGTGCTGAAAATACCTGAAGGGCAAGGGAAAGGACCAGTGAAGAAGCTACAATAACCTTAGCAAGAGATGGTGGCTCAGAAAGACTGGGGGAGGAGCTGTGGGGATGGAGGATGAAATTTCAGATTTGACAGTTACATTGGAGAGTTTAAGGGGGAGGTCTGGGCTGGGAATTAGAACTTGAAACTCAAATGGTATTTATTATCAGAAGTAACCGAGGGGCGCCTGGGTGGCTCAGTCATTAAGCATCTGCCTTCGGCTCAGGTCATGCATGATCCCAGGGTCCTGGGATCGAGCCCCGCATCGGACTCCCTGCGCAGCAGGAAGCCTGCTTCTCCCTCTCCCACTCCCACTGCTTGTGTTCCTGCTCTATCTCTCTGTCAAACAAATAAATAAAATCTTTAAAAAAAAAAGAAGAAGTAACCGAATCATGGAGATGGAGTCCTGGCTCTACCACATTCTGGTCGCAAACTTGAGTTGAGTAAACTATTTTAGGCTCTGGGCCTCAATTTCCCTAACAGTAAAATATAGAAAATATTCCCACATAACAGGGCCTTCAAGAGAACGAAATGAGAAGTGTCGAAGGCTGACGGTGAGCAAGGTGAGAACCTTGCACGAACCTGTACCGGAGGGAGGGGGCTGCTGTAAAGCCAGCGACTGACACAATCCCATAGTACTTATTCCGAGGTCCCCCAGCAGCGATCAAAAAGAAGCGCCTGGGCCCGCACCGCAACGCGGTCTGCGGCGCCCAAACCTCGCGAGATTTGTTGGCCGGGCAAAGTCACCCTCCCACCCACATCTCGCGAGACCAAGGTTTATGAGAGGCTATCTGCCGGTTAGGGCTTGCAGGAAAGATGGAGTATCCCGCGTTGGGCACCGTGGAGGCAGCGGACAGTGGAGGGGCCCGGCCATACAACAGCTCCGAAGAGCGAGAAGGACGGGAACCGGACGGGCTGCGCTTCGACCGCGAGAGGGCGCGCCGCCTGTGGGAAGCAGTGTCCGGGGCCCAACCAGTGGGGAGGGAGGAAGGTGAGTCCCGGGACCTCAGAAGCAGCGAGTCTTTCACCCGCCCGCTCGTCTCACAGGGAGTGGCGGAAGCGCGGGGCGGGAACGCGGACCAGCCCCCGGGTCTCCGGTCACACCCCCTGGCGCCCGGCCCGCCCCCTTGCGTGACGCGCCCCGGGACTTCTTGACTGGTGCACCCCAGCCGGGCCTGGGTACCGTGGGCCAGCTCCCTTGAAAATTGAAGCTGCAGCACCACATGAATGAGGTCTCCGCGCTCAGATGGTCAAGGGCCTTCTCATACTCAGGACGCGGGGTTTTTTCCCCTTCCATTCTCACCCACCAGAGCACAGCTCTTCCTAAACTCCTATCCGTGCCTCTTACGTAAATTCCTATCCGTGCCTTCTCGGAGACCCACAGAGCCTTCCCCGCCAGACTCCTAGCCCTTGACCATTTCTCCCTGACTCTGCATCGTCCCTGTCTCCAGGTTCTTCCACCCCTTGTGTCGCTTGCCTGCCTTCTCTAATGCCCCACACTGCCAAGGACTCCAAAAGGCCTTCTTACCCCCCGTTCCTCCTGACCTTGGTATCTTCAACCTGGTTTACCCCTCTTTCTAGGTGTCTGGTCTCTACTACCTGGGTCTCTTTTATGAGGTCAGGGCCAGGAACCTGAGAAACTGGCCAGGGTATATTTTGGCTCCAGCTTCTTTGTATCCCATGCTTGTACAGAAGTTGTGGAGAACAGGGTACACTGGGGATCACTTCAGGGCTGAAGCTTCCCAGCTTGCTCTGCATTTGACTTGGCACTGGGTAAGATGGAGATAGAGGAGGATGGAAAGCGCTGGCCTGACCTGGTTGTGTGACCCCCTTTGTAGTCCTTAGCAGAGCTAGCTGCTTAACGCTAACCCAGAAGTACAAGAACTGTCTGGCCGCCTTTGCTAATCCTGTCAAGTAATCTGCAGTAAAATCAGATGATTTGTTTGCTTGGTGAGCAGACTAATCTTGGAAAGTTTAATATGTTGCTTGTGAACTGATTGCCCTGGGATAAAATGGGATTTTAACCATACCCAAGGAAGATATATTTAAATTTGGGGTGGTACACAGCCCTATACCCTTGTGTATACTTCTCCAGTTTTAAAACTAGTCTAGTCTGACTCCTAAATTAATATGGGCTCTCTGTCTGCCTCATAATTTTGAACTTGTTTGGTACAAATCCCCCCAAACACATCCCAATTTCCTTTCACTAATTTGACAAACAGTCATTGATACCTCCTCAGTTCCCAGGACTGGCTGGGCATCAGAGCTACAGAGATGAGGAAGATACTGTCCTTGCCCTGGAGGAGTTTATAGTCTAGTCCAGGAAGCAGACACCAAAACAGTTTCAGTATAATATAATGGGTGCAGTGAAGAGGAATGTATAAGAATTGGTTGTGCACAAAGAGGGAGTGACCTTTGTCCTTGAGGGACAGAGAAGGCATCCCCTAGACCTTGAAGCAGAGAACACAGTTGTGCTCTAAAAAGTGAATTGCTTATGTGTGTATGAATGTACAGTGTCACTTAGGACCCAGTTCATTTTCCTACTCTCCTTACCTTCCAATATTTGTATGAGGTTTAGGTAGATACTTGTAACACCAAGTTCTGCTCACCTTGGTTTTCGTTTTGTTTTTTCTCTTAGCACTTTCATTGAGTTAAAATTTATATACCGTCAAATTCACCCATTGTAACTGTACAGTGCAATGATTTTTTTAGTAAAAGTACAGAGTTGTGTTTTAGAATATTTCTATAGCTCCAGTTAGTTCCTTTGTGCTTGTTTACATTAAATCTCCACTCTTACCTCCTGCCCTAGGCAACCACTGTCCTCTATAAATTTACCTTTTCTGAATATTTCATATAAACAAAATCATACAATAGGTAGTCTTTTGCATTTGGCTTCTCTTGGCATGTTTTTGAGGTCCAGCCAAGTTGTACTGTGTACTAGTACTTCATTACTTTTTGTTGCAAAATAGAATCTCATTGTATAGATCTTGATTTTTTATCCTTTGACAGTCTCTGCCTTTTGAGTGGGCTGTTTAGACGTTCACATTTAATTTCATTATTCATATGGCTAGATTTACATTTTCCACTTTGCTATTTATCTCCTTTACATTTTGTTCTTTCCTTTCCCCTTTACTGACTTCTTTTGTATTAAGTATTTTTTAGTGGGCCATTTTATTTTCTCTGTTCATATTTTTTATACTTTTTTTTTACTTTTTTATTTTATTAGTGCCCAAGGGACTACAAGATGCATCTTAACTCATCACAGTCTACTTCAAATTAATACTACCAACTTAATTCTGGTAAAATATAAAAACATTCCTCCCCCTCCTTTGTAGTATTATTGTCATGTATATTATTGCCATATATATTACATCGATTTATGTTATAAACCTAATTATTCAGTGTTGTAATTATTGATTTATACAATATGTCTTTCTTTTAAGATTTATTCAGTGGCTCAGTCGTTAAGCATCTACCTTTGGCTCAGGTCATGATCTCAGGGTTCTGGGATCGAGCCCTGCATCGGGATCCCTGCTTGGCGTGAAGCCTGCTTCTCCCTTTCACACTCCCCCTGCTTGTGTTCCCTCTCTCGCTGTGTCTCTCTCTGTCAAATAAACTTAAAAAATCTTTAAAAAAAAAAAAAAGATTTATTGGGCGCCTGGGTGGCTCGGTTGGTTGAGCGACTGCCTTTGGCTCAGGTCATGATCCTGGAGTCCCGGGATTGAGTCCCACATCGGGCTCCCTGCTCAGCAGGGAGTCTGCTTCTCCCTCTGACCCTCTTCCCTCTCATGCTCTCTGTCTCTCATTCTCTCTCTCTCAAATAAATAAAATCTAAAAAAAAAAATAAAAATGTTAAAAAAAAGATTTATTTATTTTAGAGAGAGAGAGAGGGCGCACAATGGGGAAGGGCAGAGGGAGAGGAAGAAAGAATCTCAAGCAGACTCTGCTGCTGAGTGCACAGCCAGATGCAGGGCTCCATCTCACAACCTGGAGATCACAACCTAAGCTGAAACCAAGAGTCAGGCGCCCAACTGACTCTGCCACCCAGGCACCCGTATACAATATGTCTTTTAAAGAAATTAAGAGAAGAAATTAGGGAAAAAAAATATTTATAATGTCTTTTATATTAACCCACATATTTACCATTTCTGGTGTTCTTTTTTTCTTCCTCTGGATTCAAGTTACCACTTGGTACCACTTCCTTTCGGCTAGAAGGGCTTCCTTTAGTATTTCTTTTTTTTTTTTTAAGATTTTATTTTTTTATTTGTCAGAGAGAGAGAGAGAGCACAAGCAGGAGTGGCAGGCAGAGGGAGAAGCAGGCTCCCTGCTGAGTGGGGAGCCCAATATGGGACTCGATCCCAGGACCCTGGGATCATGACCTGAGCTGAAGGCAGCTGCTTAACCAACTGAGCCACCCAGGCATCCCTCCTTTAGTATTTCTTGCAAAGCAAACCTGCTAGCAGTGAATTCTCTCAGTCTTTACCTGGGAATGTCTTTATTTTGCTTTCAGTCTTAAAGAATAATTTTTTAAAATAACATCTTTATTGGGGCGCCTGGGTGGCTCAGTTGGTTAAGCAACTGCCTTCAGCTCAGGTCATGATCCTGGAGTCCCGGGATCGAGTCCCACATCGGGCTGCCTGCTCAGCAGGGAGTCTGCTTCTCCCTCTGACCCTCTTCCCTCTCGTGCTCTCTATCTCTCATTCTCTCTCTCTCAAATAAATAAATAAAATCTTTAAAAAAAAATAAAATAAAATAACATCTTTATTGATACATAATTCATATGCCATAAAATTCACCCTTGTAAAATATACAGTTCAGTGGTTTAGTATATTCACAGAATTGTGCAACCATCACCAGTAATGCCAGAACATTTTCATCACCCCAGAAAGAAACCCTGTACCCATTAGCAGTCACTTCTGGCAACTACTCATTCCCTTTCTGTTTCTATAGACTTGCCTATTCTGGATGCTTCATATAAATTGAATTGTATGGCTTCTGTCACTTGGCATAATGTTTGAAGGATAGTTTTGCTGGACATGGAGTTATTGGTTGACAGTTTTGATCTTCTCACTACTGTTATTTCACTGCCCTCTGGCTTTCATTGTTACAGATGAGAAGTTAATCAAATTATTCCACGATACATTATGAGTCATTTTTCTCTTACTAATTTAAAGAGTTCCTGTCTTTATCTTTCTTTTTAAAAATTTATTTATGTATTTATTTATTTATTTTAGAGAGAGAGAGAGAGAGAGAGCACAAGCAGGTGAAGGAGCAGAGGGAGCGAATCCTCAAGCAGACTCCTCACTGAGTGCAGAGCCCAACAAGGGGCTTGATCTCAAGACCCATGAAATCACGACCTGAGCCAAAACCAGGAGTCAGACACTTAACTGACTGAGCCACCCAAGCACCCCTATCTTTATCTTTCAGTAGTTTGACTATGATGTATCTGGGTGTAGATCTCTTGGTATTTATCCTGTTTTGAGAGACTTGAGACTTTTTTTTTTTTTAAGATTTTATTTATTTATTTGACAGAGCACACAAGCAGGGGGAGCGACAGGCAGAGGGAGAAGGAGAGGCAGGCTTCCCACTGAGCAGGGATCCCGATGCAGGGCTCAATCCCAGGACTCTGGGATCATGACTTGAGCTGAAGGCAGATGGTTAGCTGCCTAAGCCTCCCAGTTGTCCCAAGAGACTTGAGACTTGACTGTATGGATTAATGTTTTTCTTTAATCAGATACGGGGAGTTTTCAAACATTGTTTCTTCAAGTATTTTTTTTCTACTCCTTTCTCTCCTGAGATTTCCCATATATATTTGTTTGGTATGCTTTATGTATCCCACAAGTCTCTGAGGCTCTATTCATTATTCTTCCATTTTTTTTTCCTCTTCAGATTGAATGTTTCTATTGATCTATCTGCAAGTTCACTGATTCTGTCTTCTGCTACTTTGATGTTGATTTTCTCTCGTGGATTTCTCGTTTTATTTATTGTACT